TTTTAAAGACTCCAAGTCCAGTGACTACTGCAAAGCACTTGTAGGGGCAGCCCTTTAACCCCTTAAGGACACATGACATGTGTGACATGTCATGATTCCCTTTTATTCCAGAAGTTTGGTCCTTAAGGGGTTAAATTAACGCTAAATAAATAGAAAAAGACAGTGAATGAACATTTATCTTTTGGTGCGTTTTCAGATGCCTTTCCACAAGCTCTTATTTTGACATGCAGAATTGGAAAAATTCTAGGTGCCAGCTGCAATTTTGCTGTCATGCGCGTCGCCATTGCGACCTAGGTCCTTGCGTTTGTCGAGACCTGACGTTTCCTGCTGCGATCGCTCGATACGCGGAATGTAGCAGAACAAACATAAAATTAGAAATCTCTAACTAAATCTTTACCTCTTTATTTAGAAATATCAGCGCTTATCGAATCTACCCATACATGACAAGATTATGAGTTAAACACTACAATGCTTTGAAAATGCATTAACATTTTAACTCATTTTTTTTATTGCCTTTTTTTGTCTGCATGGAACACAAATAATGCCCATTGTGTCCCTTTAATATTTTACACCCTGCTCACCCCATCTGTAATGTTGAGCAAGTACCCAGTAACTTTCTTGGGGTGCCAGAATAGCCAGCGAAAAACTGTTAGCTCACTCAAAACCCTGCATTAACTCAAAATAAATCACTAGATAACTCATCTCACACAGATCTTGGTAATGAAAAATCTTTACTATTGGCGTTTTAGGACTGTCAGATGGCAAAACAGAATCACTTCCTACTGTAGCTAATTGTTATTGTAATTTAATTGTAATCAGTAATTGGATGTATTCATCATTTGTTTTAGTACAGTGTATTTTAACCAATAACATATTTTTAATGGTAATCCTATACAATGTTTTCAGATTGTATTTAATCAGATTTATTTTCATATATATTATCTCTGGTGAAGTAAGTTATAAATATTCAGACACAGTACATACAGATACAGTATGTTCAGATGTTAACCGACTAGCTAGAATTGCAGAAACGTGTGGTTTAGAACATACAGTGACTTATAGCAGAATGTTTCTAATAAATGCTCAGAATCCGTGCGATACAGAACTCATAAAAACAACATTGAACAGTCAGTGGTGTTATTAAAGGACCACTATAGTGCCAGGAAAACATACTCGTTTTCCTGGCACTATAGTGCCCTGAGGGTGCCCCCACCCTCAGGGACCCCCTCCCGCCCGGCTCTGGAAGGGTTAAAAACTTACCTTTTTCCAGCACTGGGCGGGGAGCTTTCCTCCTTCTCTCCTCCTCCGATCCTCCCCGCCGGCTGAATGCGCACGCGTGGCAAGAGCTGCGCGCGCATTCAGCCCGTCGCATAGGAAAGCATTTACAATGCTTTCCTATGGACGCTTGCGTGCTCTCACTGTGAAAATCACAGTGAGAAGCACGCAAGCGCCTCTAGTGGCTGTCAATGAGACGGCCACTAGAGGATTAGGGGGAAGGCTTAACCCATTCATAAACATAGCAGTTTCTCTGAAACTGCTATGTTTATAAAAAAATGGGTTAACCCTAGCTGGACCAGGCACCCAGACCACTTCATTAAGCTGAAGTGGTCTGGGTGCCTAGAGTGGTCCTTTAAGGTGGTGATGAGTCCAAAAAAGTCCCACGTCTGATTAGGTAAGTCGTTTGTCCTGAAACCCCAGAAATACAAAAAGAAATGATACATCCACTAACTCCAATTAGATCGTTTGTGACAGTGCCTTCATTTTACAGTACCATGTAATAGCATTGTGTGAGTGCAGATATTTTTATTTCTTTTGTTAAACAAGGTTGAGTTGTACACTGTTCCACAAACGTCTTGTATTTATTTATGTAAATCGAGAATATTTAAGATTTAAAAACAAAAAATGTTTACATATTGCAAATAGTACAAAAAGCTACTGCATGCTATGAATGAGTGCAGAGTTTAAAAGCAGTGAGTGCAGATATAAAGGATGGCTTCAGGCACCATAATTTCTTCAGTGATTTACAGTGGTCATGTTGTGTGAAGTCTGCTCGCGCAGTGTTTTCAGTTTAGAACCCTGTACATACAGAGATCAACTCCTTAAAGGATCACTATAGTGTCAGGAAAACAAAGCGGTTTTCCTGACACTATAGTGCCCTGAGGGTGCCCCCACCCTCAGGGTCCTCCTCCCGTGACCCCCTTCAGCAGCTTACCTTTTTCCAGCGCCGGGCTCCCTCGCCGTCGTCAGCTCCCGAGTGGAGCGGAATGCGCTGCGCATTGAAACAGTCAATAGGAAAGTATTTCTCAATGCTTTCCTATGGACGCTCTGCGCAATGGATGCGAAATTCAGATCAAGCGTCGCAGATGCGCCTCTAGCGGCTGTCCAGAAGACAGCCACTAAAGGTTGGCTTAACCCCTAATGTAAACATAGCAGTTTCTCTGAAACTGCTATGATTACATCTGAAGGGTAGTGATGTCCCGAACGGTTCGCCGAACGGTTCGCCACGAACGGTTCGCCACGGACTCATCATTGAGTAAACTTTGACCCTGTACCTCACAGTCAGCAGACACATTCCAGCTAATCAGCAGCAGACCCTCCCTTCCAGACCCTCCCACCTCCTGGACAGCATCCATTTTACATTCATTGTGAAGCTGCATTCTTAGTGAGCTGTCAAGGAGGTGGGAGGGTCTGGGAGGGAGGGTCTGCTGCTGATTGGCTGGAATGTGTCTGCTGACTGTAAGGTGCAGGGTCAACGTTTACTCAATGATGAGTCCGTGGCAAACCGTTCGTGGCGAACCGTTCGTGGCGAACCGTTCGGGACATCACTACTGAAGGGTTAAAACCTGAGGGAGCTGGCACCCAGACCACTTCATTGAGCTGACGTGATCTGGGTGACTATAGTGTCCCTTTAACTACCATCCGTGTAACTCCACCACCGGCAGAGTCATTAGCCAGCCCTGACCTCCAACCCCTTCCGGCGAGAGGAAGTGAGGATTGGACTACAGGGAGAAGCTGGTCTCGGCGATGGTGAGATAATGCTATTAATTTTTTGAGGTTAACGCTGCATGAACAGGTATGATTGGTTTATAAATATAGGTTAATATATATTCTGAGTCATAGAACATGCTAGGGTTTAGGGTTTGACACAGGGCACAGCAGAGAACAGAATTTTGGGAGGGGTGTGAGAAAGACTATAAAATTTACATTTGGGCCCTTGCCTCTTTTTTTTTCTATTTAAAAGTGGCCCTAAGTACAGGTTTGTGTATCCGCTGGCCGAAACCTGAACATCTACACATTTATCTATACATGTGAAATTATATTTCCAACAAAGTTGAACCACAATGACCGCATTATTCATTATTGCATTTTTTGAGAACTTGAGCGCTACAATATATTTTTTTCAAACCCTCACATGTGGAAAGCGCGTCTGATGTCAGCAGCCAATCAGAAGCTGAGATTCAAACAAATGCATTTCTTATCTCGCAGCAAGCCACTCAGCCTTTCAATGAAATTTGTTTTGATCTGCCTGATGGGGGCAAATGCCTCAAGTGCTCTTAGAAAGTCACATTAGCTCTAACTATTTTATAGAAAATTAATTTGATTTTTTTTTTAAATAGCAAATTATTGACCATTTTAAAAATGCTATTTGATGCATTGTCTTTACGCTGTGAATGTCATGTAATAATTTACTTTTTCCCGGGTAACGTTATCTGACTGCACACTGTTGGTTATCTTTTTTTTATCTAAAGAAATCGTTCTGATAACCGGCTTCTGGGAGGAAGGCTTGAGATCCTTAGACAGGCTAAATTGCCCGATCAGTTTAACCTTCTAGTGGAGATGCAGCGTTACCCCGACAAGGCGTGCATCGCCAGCTGCATAATCACCATGATAAATATTTCTAGTTCACAACGGGGCATCTGAGACCACAATTTAAATCTATTTTAATTTTATACTAATATATGTTAATCCTAATTGCTAAAAGCATTAAATTAGCATGTTTGTGTGGGGTGAATTTTAGCAGGGGATTTTAAGAGATGAATAGTGATACTGCAATTTATAAAGGATAAAATATATCACTGGTAAAATAAATGTTTTGGTGCTAGTGTTCTCCGTTTTGAATATACAATTTACAAACCCTTTGTTATCCGACGGTATTAAAGGACCACGCCAAGAACCATAAACACTGCAGCCCACTCTAGTGGTTATGGTGCCAGGAGTACCCTGGCGCCCTCGCAGAGTATGTAGTCACACCATTAGGAATGGTTTGGCAACTTACCTGGGTCATTAGGGTGCTCACGTCGCTTCCGCTGTTTCCGAAGTTTCCTCCACTGAGCGAAACTTGGCCATGCAAGACTGCCCTCATTGGCTGAGCACGCTCAACTGAAATTCTTAGCCAATTGGTTCAGCCCTGAATGGCCAGGCATAGCTCAGTGGACACTAACAAGAGATTCTGGCAGCAGTGGAGATGGTGGTGGAACTTAGCCTGGTGGAACCTAGGTAAGTTGTCTAACAATTCCATATACGATGCTCCCGCTCAACAGACCTATGAGAGATTACAGAGCCTAAACACATCCCCCTAGACCAGGGATAGGCAACCTTCGGCACTCCAGATGTTGTGGACTACATCCCCCATAATGCTCTTACACCCATAATGATGGCAAAGCATAATGGGAGGTGTAGTCCAAAGCATCTAGAGTACCAAAGGTTGCCTATGTCTGCCCTAGACCAAGCATGTCAAAGATATTTCCTGTCCAATTCATTTCTTCATAGCCGATTCCGTGCTCCCGCAGGCCAGCCACTACCCTTCCCTCCTGCTCGAAGTGGCAGAGGAGTGTCTGGCCTGCATCTTAAGGTAGGGGAAGAGGGTTTGGGGGACTTTCCTGTGTAGAGTGCTAAATTGGGGATAGGGGCTGTCACGGGTTCGTGAGTCTATTGCTGTTATTCCTTCAATCCTCCACTAGTCCATTGTTTGCCTCCAGAGCATGGTGGGCTTTGATAAGTCATTGTAAAATGTCAGAGTGTGTTGCTCGAAGGACAGGGAGGGTGAGTCCCTGACTGCTGTCATGATTGCCGCTTTGTCCAAGTATGTGACAAGCTGTATTATGACATCGCTGCCCTGCCCTGCGGATTCTGTAAATATTGTCCACCAGGATACTTTTAGCCTGCTTGTGGGGAAGTATTTGCTGAAGCAGGCATCTTATATATTGTGGCAGTTCCGTTTTCTCTACCGTGGTAGGTGTGCCTTTAATCTTGATGTTTTTGCTGCGGCTGCGGTCTTCAAATTCGCTCATTCTCAGTGACATGGTGTCTTGTGAGTCTGTTAGCCATTTCTGCTCTGCGGCAAGTGTGCTTTGCTCGGCTTTGAGGTGGTTGGATGTCTCCTCTGCGGCCTTTATTCGACCTGTGAGTAATAGCACATCTTCTCTCAGTATTGCTAGGTCCGCCTGGAACATCTTGCGGATATCGCGGAGTAATGATTTAATATCTCCTTTTGTGGCTGGGGTGTTGTTCTCCTCATCCGAGGACTCCTCATGCAGGCCACCGACTTGGGGGATCTCATCTAATGCATCCAGAGAGGGTTCCTTCTCGGACAACGAGATATCAGCGCGTTGGTCCGCCATTTTGGGCGCCATGCGTGGGAGGCCTCCCTGAATGTAGTCTCCGATATTTCGGGATCCCATGGCCAGGGCTGCTATAATCTTCTTTGCCTGTTTTCCCATTGCGGTATGGGGGTTCTGGTCTATGTAACGGCTGGTTTGCTGCGGTTTTTGGGCTTATTGGTACGGAGCTATCTCTCTGCACGTCTGTTCTGTGTGCTGGCTTGGCTCCGCCTCCCCTTTGACTTTTCTTTTGCATAGCCCGGCCATTCTCAGGACTGGTATTGCAATTCTGTCTGTTGTGTCCTGTCTGTGTGTTAGGTTCCCTACCAATCGTGACAGGTAGAGGTGGTATTGTCAACTTAAAAGGGGTTAATTTGATTGTATGGGAGGTCAGAGATTACAACCTAAATTACTCTTTGAATCTGGGACCCCAACAGAGCTACTCTGTAAGGTGTGAGAAGTCACACATAAGTGACCTGGAAGTCTGGTTTCAGTATAAACTAACCCTCTCATTTGCAATATGTCTTGATTCCCTCTTAGATAAGGAGTCCTTTAATATGAACAGCCTTGTGTTCCAATATCATATCCAAAAGAGACATTAATACCTACCCACAGATTAATACACAAGCCTCATTTTTTATCATATTTAGAATGGGACAAACACAATCTTCCAATCAAGCCTAAACATGATTTGCGAACAAGGGGACCCCACAGAATCTGTTTGGTAACCGAACAGAAGGGAACAATTCCATTCGAATGCAGGGAAACATTAGACGATACAAAGTATAATTAAGGGAACACGTTCGAGGAGTCCCATCTCCCGTGACAGAGGCAGTGTATTAATTTGAGGGAGGGAGGGGGCAGTGTATTAAGTTGGGGAAGGGAGTGGGGCAGTGTATTAGAGTGGTTGAGGGGGCAGTGTATTCGAGTGCATGGAGGGGGAGCAGTGTATTGGATTTGGGGGCAGTGGATTTGAATGGGGGAGGGGGAAGTATATTGTATTAGTGGGCAGTGTATTAAAATGGGGTAAGAGGGCAGTGTATTAGATTGGGTCTGCATGGAGGCGCTGGAGGCTCTCCATGCATATGCTGATTGGCCGCTCAGCTTTTTGCCACACATGCATAATAGCTTCCCAATGCTTTTCTATGGGAAAGCATTGGATTGGCTGATATCATCAAGTTTGATGGTCTCAGCCAAAGTGAAGAACACACTCATTGGACTTCAAAATCAACAAGATAACGTCATTTGTTTTTTACAGCTATTCAACAGCATACATTCACCATTTCAGTCCCATTACCAAACTTTTCTTAATATGTCAAGGTAGTTGGACTGAAACATATATGCACATGCACGTCTTCTTAAAATAAATTTGCTCTTTGTTTACTTTGAAGCCTTATGAGCGTGAGTGTCAGTTAGGTAACATTTTTATACTGTATGTTTCTAAATATACCTATGAAAACTGAAGTTTTTTTTCTTGCGGCCCACATCAACTTAAACTTTGTTTATTTGGCCTGTGTTAGCCTTTGAATTTGACATGCTTGCCCTAGACATTACTACAAAGCTCCCTCACTACCTGCACAGGGAATTGTTAGGACATGGGTGACTCTTTGGGTGTGCAGGAGGCTAAGCGAAAGGGAAACAGAAATGGTGGAGAAATTGGAAAGACTACAGATACATAATCCATGGGAAGAAATGAGGGAAAGACACACATGGAAGATTGTACAGAAAAGATGGATGAAGATTACTGAGTGGAGGAACCTGTGAATGACACAAGTGGAAAAGTGGAGTTGAGAGACAAACGGGAAGAGGAAATAACGAGAGACACCTGAGGGAAGTGATGGGAAAGAGAGACACACTTGGGAACATACATTTTGGTCTTTAAAGCAGCAATGGTTCTAAGAACTGCATGTTCTGGGTGTGCCCTCCAATTCCATTTATTGTAATAGGTTATTTAATAGGTTAATTGGTCTATAGATCTGATGAAACTGTACTTGCTTATATTCTAGCAAAGACATCTTGCGGAATATAAGGACAGATAGACATTCTATTTCATGGAGACATCATTTCCATGGGGAAACATCAGAGATTAATTCGATACCGTTAGAAAATGAGATAAGAAATAACAAGTAGGCAATGTGTGTGGAATGGTCAACCAAGTTATATTGCATATTATTCCCAATATAACTCTCAATCAGCTCAGTGTTAGCTATGTGGGAATTAGTGTCAGCAGCACCTCCTGATAAGGTTAAGATAGGCATCTCATATTATTGGCAAGATGGTGTATACTTAGTATCTCGTTATTGGTTACATGTAGACCCGCATTTCATACTTTTAATCCAGCAATAGCGTCTTGGTTTTTTTTTTAAAGAGATATTAGAACACACCTGTACCATAATTAATTTGTATATTTATAACAAGCTGGTACTCATCACTAGCTAACAGTACACCAAGACACCTATTTAAATCTTTTTTATTGAGACAGGAATATTTACTTTACAGATAGATGAGTTCAGTACCAGCAACATACAGTAGTATCGTGACAATATGCTGTAAATATAATTATAGGCTGTGCAATATAAACATGGCCAATATAACACAGTTTATAGATGTGTTTTTCTGTATGTGTTAGGAAGGGCCAGATAGGAAAATATAAGAATGACGGTAATTGTAGCACGTGGTAGTATGGCACAGCAACAAGTATTCCCTTTATGGGAATATAAAATATAAAGGCGTATAAAAGAAAGATAAATTATATAGACACTTTTTTTCATGCATATACTTGTGTTAAACATCCCTTTAAAGTGCTATAAAGACAAAGCATGCACAATAATCATATAGAATTTTGCAAAACAAAAGTAAAAGATAATGGCAGTGAAATGAGTCCTGCACCAGTTAAACAAGGCAGCGATATGCAGGGCTTAATATAGTATTAGGAAGATTCAGATAGGACAGGCGAATAATAGGTTGTCACTAGTGATGTCCCGAACGGTTTGCCGAACGGTTCACCGAACGGTTCGCCACGGACGGTGAACATAAACATAAACTTTGACCTTGTACCTCACAGTCAGCAGACACATTCCAGCCAATCAGCAGCAGACCTTCCCTCCCAGACCCTCCCACCTCCTGGACAGCTCACTAAGAATGCAGCTTCAAAATGGATGCTGTCCAGGAGGTGGGAGGGAGGGTCTGCTGCTGATTGGCTGGAATGTGTCTGCTGACTGTGAGGTACAGGGTCAAAGTTTATGTTTATGTTCGCCTTCCGTGGCGAACCGTTCGGCGAAACGTTCGGCGAAACGTTCGGCGAAACGTTCGGGACATCACTAGTTGTCACATGTTTATAGTGTAAAAAACGAGGCTATGACATGTATGATAAGCAAAACAGGATTACGAAAAAAAATTATATTACAATAACAGGAGCCCCTGCATGTAAGGTATTCAGGTAATAGATGAAGGATTCTGTATAGAACAAAGACTAGGATACAATATATTATGTAGACAATACATGTATTATATTATAATATGTTATATCATTTGAGTGCAAAATAACGTGTAATGTATGACTCGAGCCAAGACATATTTGCAAATGTCATGGAGTATGATACACACTGGTATACATATGGTAGGTTGCAAAGCCAAGAACAGTGACAACCAAAACACATCAACACTATGACATGAACCAGGATAGAGGGGGCTCTGAATAATCTGCACGTTGGAAAAGCTGGGAATACTGAAATATTAAAACAATACTGTCACTTTGCAGGTTTTGGTTTTAATTTAATCCTTTTTATCCCTCTTTTTACGCTTGTTTTTTTTTTATTTTTTTGTAAATCACCTTAGTTTTAGATATAAGTCATCAAACGTAGAGAATTAGGCAATGGGTGAGCTTTGGCAAAGTTTCATTTTAGTTGCTAGGCTAATTTACCCATAATCAATCACCTAATAAAATAACACAAAAGGGCAAACTGCAGACGTCATGGCTAGAGGAAACAAAATGGTGGCCATCAAAATGGCGGTATCTGGAACAAGGAAGATATAATAATATAAAGAAGGCAAGTGGCAATGGGGCTGTGCAGGGAGGGGAGGGGTGTAGAAAAATCATTAAGATACAAGAAGCATAAGGAAATTTTAAAAATGACAGGGGTGCTTTAAGTACAGTGCACTGTGTTTAGGAACCAGACATATGAATGGAAACAGGCTGAATTATCACCAGAATGCTGGGGTAGAGGATGTTCACAACCAGTATGGTGAGGTTGTATGCAATGGTATGTTGCAACATCATATTTACAAGGAAAAAATGTAAAAAAAAAAAAGTTTTTCGTGAAAGAACTTCCATTAACTGTTTGTGGCAATACATGGCTTAGTTCATTGGCTATTTAGACAGCATTTCCTGCAGAGAATCTTTCCACTCTCAGGAAACTGTAATAGAGGTTGGAAGAGGATCCTGGCTGTAGTGGTTATGGTGCTTGGAGAGTTTGTCTAACTCTGGGGTGTCAAAAAAAGAGGATCCCCAGATACTGTAGAACTACAACCCCATGATGCTTTGCATGCCTTTGGAATGCATTATTATGGCAAAGCATAATGGAAGCTGTAGTATTAAAAAATGTGGGGATCTTTCTTTTGGGCTCCCCTGATAAAAAAAAAATGTATGATGATATTTGTAAAGAACTGGAGACTGAGGGATGGTCTCATGGGATGGGTAAATGACCTCCATTGCAAGGGTGCTGCCATAGACAAATGTTAAGGTGACAGGTGCATGCAGAGAACAGGAACATGTATTTGACAAAAGAGGGGATGTAACATATATCTTTATGCAGCCCTAACTACACCTCCCTAGGCTGTGACTTTACACTTCCTGTAAAGAGAGATCTCATTTTTAAACTTCCTTTGTTGCACGGTTTATTTAATTTAGAATATCTTAACCCATTCTCTGTTAATATCTTGCTAGAGCCTTCATGAGACTCATATGTATGATTAAAGTTCATTTTACAGAGGATGAGATGAGAAGTTCTAAAGTAAACACCCAGTGCTGTAAGATCTGCTTAAAAAATAAAACATTCTTTTTTCATGTTGGCTGCATGAGTCACAGCCAGGGGAAGTGTGGCTAGGGCAACATAAACAAA